TTTCTACGTCACACTAATAATAATAATAATGTCGGATATAAAAAAAAAAAAAAAAAAGTTTGCATGTGTGTTCACCGAAAAAATTATACGAACGTAATGAATACGTTATTCGAAAGGTAATAAATTTTAATTTTTTTTTTTTAAATAATAATATTTATTATTATTATTTTCATACACGAAAATTTTTTTTTATAAATTTTGTATAAATTTTTTTTTTTTAGGTTCGCAACTAAGGTATGAGAAGGAATTTTTACAAACGTGCGACTCCTAATGGAATGAACGTGGTAATGATAATAATTATCTGATAATGTGTTTTGGGGTAAGTGTTTAATTGCACACCATATTACTAGTAATATGATATGGGGGGGTATGATAATAATAATAATAATAATATTTGTGAAAGAGTAATGAATGGGGGGGGGACCGTCATAAAAACAAACGTATGCATTATTTTTTTAAAAAAAAAAATTTTTTATCACACAAAGAATAAATTGTTGATTGTTTTATTTTCATACAAACAAACGTAAAAAATTTTTTATATATAAAACATGGGTCAAAAGTAATTTGATACAAGTAGGACATTTTATATGCATTGTATTTTTTCTTAACAAAAAAAAAAAAAAAAAGGTTTTGACAGCAAAAATTTTATTTTCTTCATTTTATCACGTTTTGAATTTTTTTTTTTTTTTTTGTTAAGGATGACAAAAATGGTGATTTTAAAAAAAAAAAAAAAATGAAGTAAATTTTTTGGTGTAATAAAACGTTTTCATCATTAAATTATCTTAAAATCTTTTATATTTAAAGTTATATAAGAACAAAAGAAAATTGTTGTTGTTTCATATAAAAAACAAAAAGAAAAAATATCAATAATTATTTTCTCCAAAAAAAATAATAATAATAATAATAACATTACATTATATATATTTTTTTTTTACTGAATTGATTTTGGGTTTGAAAAAAAAAATTTCCATGGGAAAATTTCTAATGGAGAAGGTAGGGTGAGGGAAGGGGAGGGAGGAGAAAAATCGATTATTTAATATTTTATATTAAAAAATTAATTTTTTTTTTTTTTTACGTAAGAAAATCACAAAAAAAATAGGAGGACTTGTATAAATTTTTTTTTTAAAAAAACATTTGTTACAACCAAAACTTATTTGTATCGAACTCCCAAAAAAAAAAAAAAAAAAAAAAAAAAATCTTATAGCGCAGTCCCATAAAAGTTATTGAAAATACAAAACGAATTCCTCCACCACCCCTCACCTCACTCCCTCCCTCCCCCTCATCCCCCCCTACGGTATTTTGGGTTCGTTCCAATGAACTGATTGATTTTCTTTTTTTTTTTTTTTTTCGCGTTTATTGCTTTTTTTTTTTTTTATTATTACTAACTGAAAAAATTTTTTAAATCTTTATGATAATAATAATAATAATAATAATAATTTTTTTCCACGTGTGAATGATGGTAACAATGATAACGCATAATCATAGAGTATAAAAAATTTGATTTTTTTTTTTTTTAATCCGCCATATTTAAAAAAAAAATTAATTTTATTTGTTTTATTTTATTAACAAAAAAAAAAAAATTAATTATGAAATTATCGATTTGAATTCGATATGATTTTTACGTTAAAATAATAATAATAATAATAATAATATATGTATGTACGTGCGTCGCATTCATTCGCCGCGATATTATTTAATTAATTAATTAAATTTGTTTTGTTTTTCTTGTATTTCTTGTATTTTTTTGTTGTTGTTGTTGTTGTTGTTAAATAAGTTTAATAGTTTCTCAAATCCGGTCCATGAGAGTGGATGCTGAAGGTATTGTACCTCAGTAAAATCACCATGGTAACAGCCCGGTCCGAAACGCCGGCGCTTTGAATCAAAACTTTGGGCAGAGCTTCATCTCGAGTGCCGGTGTGATCAATAGGATTTCGCGCTTTGCACGGACTTTCTGTTTCCGCCCGAATAAAAAAAAAAAAAAAAAATTTTCTTTTTTTTTTTTTTTTTTTATTTAGTAGAGTTACGACGTACATGTTTTTTAAAAAAAAATTTTTTTTTTTTTTTTTCGTTTTCGCTTAATATTTATTAATACGAATTAAAGAGAGATAGAGTGAGAAAGAGTGATAAAGATAGAAACAGAAA